TACAGGTCTGGGGGCATGCACATAGACACAGAATATACAACATTTACTGAGCCTTCACTATATGCCACTCTGTCTGCTATGCACTTAAGAAATATTACCTCATGGACTCTCTACCCAATCCTTATTCCCATTTTAAAGGTGGGGCGACTGAGGCTTAGCAAGGTTATATGGCTAAGATGTGGTGGAACAGGGACCAGAACCCAGAGCTTATCTGACACTCAAGCCTGAGCTCTTGACACTACTCCACGCAGCTTCAGGATTAATCATTCACCCAGATACCTGCAAAATCAATCCCAAATCGCCCTTGGCCATGGGGCTGTTCATGGTGTCCTGAACTCTCTCTACCCAACAAGAAGAAAAAAGGGGCTTTAAGGCTTCTGGCTGGAGTGCCACTCTCCCTGAATGAGGCGAACGGGGCGGGGCGGGGAGTTGTGTCCTTCGCTTCCACGGTACAACTTATAGAAAACTTTTTTTTTCCCTCCCAACAAAACTTTTTGCACTCTGCGCCAGCCATCTCTCCTAGGGCTTCCATCTCAACTGAGCAACAGGTGAAAAAGACGGGGAAGTAAACAACCACAAACCAAGCAAGGATCAAGGGCCTCTGGTTTCTCCCTGCAGCGAAAGCTGCCCCGCACCAGCAACGGAAGATCCAAAGCCCGCGCGCTCCGTATAGCTGTTACCCCAAAGCTCCCCAGCACCGAGGGGGTCCACTCCAGGGAGTGAGTTCTCCGCAGAGGCCCAAGCACCACTGCGCTGGTTACTGTTTACGGTTATCACGACATCTCCGGTCCTGCCCCGGGCGCTCCTGAACCTCGAGCCCGGTGACCTCCCTCTCCGGCGCCTGGGGAGGCTGCACCGCCCAAGGGCTGGAACTCGGATGGCGCCGGCGGGCGCCGTCTGCACCCCTGCACTCGCCAGTCAGAGCCCAGACGCACTGAAGGGGCAGCCTGAGCTGCAGGACCCGCCCGCCGGCTCGGAGGGTCCACCGGGGCCCGGCCCGAGGTTGAGGCAGCCCCGGGGGTCCCGCACCAGAGGCCGCCCCCGGGGCCCGACGGCGCCTTCCCGGGGCCCGAGGCCTCCCTCCCGAGCTCCGTTCTCCTCGGGCCCGCCCCGCTGCCCTCACCTCGGCCCGGTCCCCCGCAGGCCGCTCGCCGCCGCCACCGCTGCCGTCCGGCCTCCCCGGATCCACAGCAACCCGTAGCCCCGGGCCGGAAGCGGGAAGCCGCGCGCGCGAGCTGCGCGTGCGTGTCCCCGCCCTGAGGGCGGGTCAGAGGGCGTGGCCAATAAGGGGGCGTGGCCCGCGGGTCTGCCGGTCTGCGGGTCCGGGGAACTGCGGGCTGTTTCTGGCTGACCCTGCGGGAGGGGTCGGGAGAGGATCTCCTCCCGGCCTTGTGGGGGACCCGTGGACTTATCCGGGAGGGTCTCTGCGGAGGGGGTGAGGGCGATCCTTGGGGGCGGGTCAGCGGGGATGCGGGGCGTCTTGAGGGAATCAGAGGGGCCTGGAGCGGGGGATCAGCGGGCGCCTGGGCGTGGCTAAGGGGATTGAGCCTGGGGCGAGAAGTCTGAGGGCAGCGTGCAAGCGATGGCGAAAACAGGCCCGTCGCCTGAGAAGAAGGGGCTGTGCAGGTTATAGGAAGCTAGACAGATCTGGGGGAGATGAGCCATATGCCTCTCAGGTGGCCCCAGACAGCCCAACGTGGGTACTAGATACCCTTGACACATGCTAGACACCCAGGCGGGTGCCATCAGATACTCAAAACATGCTTTCGGGTACCCTCGAATAGGTCAGATTAGGACATTCGTCTGAATCTGTCAGTTACCCTGAAGTGTTCAGAATCTCAAAAACATGCCAAAATACCCCAAAGTACCAGATGCCTTCACCCAGGAGCCATCAGATACCCCCAGATAGAAACATATCAGAGACCCTACTCGGAAACCTTTACATAGTCTCCCAAAACACATACTAGATACCCCCAATACAGATATTGTCAGATACCCCCCCACAGGTATTCAGAGTCTAAAATACATGCCAGACCATCTCCCAACACAGGTGTTTTCCGACATGCCAGATGCCTCCCCCATTGCTGCCACCCCCTCAGGTGCCACCAGATTTCCCAGCTCTAAGGCTGCTTGTTCCAATCCGGGTTGGCCACTGGTGAGACCGTTTGGCAGTGCCCAGTAGAGGAGCCAAACACCTCTTTCACCAGATTCAAGTCGACCAGGCCGAGATCTGTCCAAGCCAGACTCACTTCAAAACACCCACAATCTGTGGCCGAGAGCCCTTACTTCAGAAACCGGATGGCGGAGTCCCCAGGAGCCTGCCTCCAGTTTAAGTCCATTTTGTCATGGTCTACAGAGGGAGCACATCCAGGAAATTGGAGTTTCCAGAAGCGTAAGGATGGCTTCATCAGAGGTCAGAAACCTCACACAGAGACTTTTGAGGTCTTGATGGATGCGTAAATGTTCACTCTCTGAGTGCCTACGACTTTGGGACTTTATTCCAAAGGCAGTGGGGAGCCATCCAAGATTTTAAGCAGAAAAAGCGGCATGATCCTTATTGCTATAGCTACCTTAGTCACAGAAACCTTCAGGTTGACATAGTTCTCCCCTAAATGTAGAAACCAACTTTCTGAAGGAGCCTGGCAACAAGAAGAGGTGTCTCTTGTCTTTCTTTTTTCTTTCCATTGTGCATTTAGTATGCCCTTCTCGTGGACCAGGGACTCTGACAAGAGCTAAGGAGACACAGAATGTAAGTCTATGGCAGCGTTTCTTAGTCTTGGCACCCTGACAACGGGGGCTGGATAGTCACTTGTTGATGGGGGCTGTTCTGTGTATTGGAAGATGATGAACAGCACCCCTGGCCTCTATCCACTTAGAGGCAAGCAGTACCCCTGTCCTGACAACAACAACAACAACAACAACAACAACAACAACAACAACAAAATGCCTCCAGATAATTGCCAAAGTCCTCTTGGCTGAGAGCACCTGGCCCAAGAGACATTCAGACACTCCTACAGTCGCCCCATCCACAGTCCAGGCTTCCTGGGGGAGGTGGCCCTGGCTTTGTTCTAAAGGGTGAGTAAGAGTTAGGTGGCCAAAGGAGTTCCAGGAACAGCACTGAGCAAGGTGCAGGTGCGTGTGGGCAGCCACGAGACTTCATGGTGGCTGAGTAGTGGAAGGGAAAAGTGGACAGGTAGGCGGAGGTCAGATCATAAAGAACCTCAGAGGTCAAGGCCAGTAATAAGACTGTCTGGAGGGGTGTGTGGGTGTCTAAGTCAGTTAAATGTCTGTCTTTGGCTCAGGTCATGATCCCATTGTCCTGGCTCACCTGGGAGTCTGCTTCTCTGCTTCTCCCTCTCCCTCTGCCACTCCACCTGCTTGAGCGCTCTCTCTCTCTCTCAAATAAATAAATCAAATCTTAAAAAAAGAAGAAGAAGAAGAAGAAGAACACTGGAACGGTGTTCTGTCAGTGGGGCTGGTCTCTGGGAAAGCATCTCAGCTCTGCCCTGGTGACCCACCTTCCATAATTTCCTGGAGTGTGACTCATTCCCTGTTCTGTTTAACTTACTGTGGGGCTGTTTCCTCTAAGGGACAGACAGTAACATCTGGCTTTGAATACTTCCAGTAGTGATAGGCATGTAGCTGGTAATACCTGGGAGGTGCCTGCTCTCAGCCTGTCGGGTGTGAGCCACAGCTGATCTGGCCCCACGGGCCTCCTACACAAGTCTGGGAGCTGAGGTCAAAGCCCAGGGTTGTGGGTCTGTGATTTAGCTGCTTGCTTTAACTCAACAGCCCAGGGGAATGATGATGACAATGACAATGGATGCTACCCTTGCCCATTTGTACCAGGCACCATGCTAAGGGCAATCCACATATTTTCCTTTACACTAACTCCAGTCTTCTGTGATCTCAAATGGCTGTCCTGAAAGTCAAATATTGTCTCTAGGAGGTGGGGGGCTTGATTTCTACCACCCTGCGAGAAGGCTGGATTGAGTCACTCGCTTCCAAATAGAGTAGGGAGAGGGAAAGAACAGTAACCTGGCAGATGTTGTCTTAACCAGGGAATGAGGGTTCATATCCTCAGGGATGTGAGATCCATAGCACTTACCCCCTGATCTGATGAGGCAAGAAGGTTCCCAAACCCATAACCCTAATTACGAGAAAACACCAGATGAACCCAGATTGGGGGCGGCGGGAGGGCATTGTCCTAGACATCCGGCTAATACCTCTCAAGACTGTCAAGGTCACGAACAATAAGGAAAGACCGAGAAACCTCACGGACCAGGGAGACGAGGGAGACAGGATGATGAGAGAGAACACAGTATTCTGAGTTACGTCTGGAAACACAGAGAACCCAAAAGGAGGAAGAAACCTTGGGGACACATGAGGCAATAATACGGTATAATGTTGATTCCTGAGTTGTGACATAGGTAGTGTGGTCATGGAAAATGCCACCACGACAGGAATCCGGGTGAAAGTTAGAAGGGGACCCTCTCTGCTCTCTCTACTTTTCTGTGATTCTTAAATTAAAAGTCAAGGGGAATAAGGGGCTACCCACCCCCTCTGGGGGATGGGTGGGAGGAGTTAGTCTGTTGTGTCAAGATAGTTAAGTGTTGTATGTGGATTGTTGACTGTGTTTGTATGGGGGGCAGAGCGTCAGTGTCTCTGACCCCTTGCACTGTTCAAGGGTGAAATGGACAGCTCTGCTGTTGGAACCACCCGGATTGCGGTATTTTGCGAGGCAACCCTAGCTGACTAATACACTGCCTGGGGTTTTTGCAGTGACAAAAGCTGAGATTTAGAGGTGTTTTGTGGCCCTGAGGTAACCACATGGTCCCTGCCCTTAAGGGACCTGGAGCTCTCCAGGGAGCTGAGGTCAGCCTCCAGCAAGGGTGAGAAATGGGATGAGGATGCAACAGGCAAAGGAGGCCACGTGAGAGAATGAGAAGGAGAGAAAGTGGCTGCCACCCAGAGGGCTGGGGCTGAGCCACGGGACTTACCAGAGCTCAGAAAGGGTTTGCCACAAAGGGGGCAGCTGGAGTGGCCAAGGAAGGTCCCTTGTGCCAGCTGGTGCCCATTGACACATTCCTTCTTCTCTCTAGCATCCTGGCCCTTGTCCTTTAGAACCACTGGGCTCTTCCCCTGTGGAGGACAGAAGTGAACCTTAGAACGCCTCATGCATTCAGACCTACCTCGAATCATGGGCCTCCAGGGCTGGGAGCGTACTGAAAAACTGGAGAAAGTAGAGGGAGGTTGTCCCTGGCCCAGCCCCCTGACCTTCTCCTTCTGCCTGGTGACCCGACAACGTAGGGAGCTCAATCTGCGCTTTACCCTGGTGCTTCTGTTACTCCGCTCAATCTTGCTGGCGCCATCCTCGCTCCTAAGGGAAGGAAAGATGAACGAGGGGGGACAGCAGGGCCAGAGGGCCATTTTCAGCCTGTCCTGCCAATTGCTCCTGGACCCCACCTGGAATTTGTCTCCTCCCCGCCCCCCCCTAGTCCTGTTTCTCTTCTGTGGTCTCTCAACTCTCTTCTTCTGCCTCTCACTTATTCATTCAACAAACATTTATGAATATTTGCAAAGTTCCAGGAACTATGGGGCTCGGTTTACAGAGGGAACTGCAATGTGGTCTCGAGCTTGGGGTCCCTCAGTGGGCAAGGCTGGATATCCTGGCTCTGTCCATTTCTGCCTCCTCCCTCTGATTCACCCCAACCCCTATATCTAATCAGCTTACAAATCTTACTCATTCTTCCTTTGGGATATCTCTCAAATCCTGCTTCCCTCTTTCCCCTAACACTCCGGCCCCAGATCACTGTCACGCCCCTCCTGGATTACTGGTACCTTCTCATTTAATAAATACAGTTGATCCTTAAACAACATAGAGGTTAGGGTCCCCAACCCCCTGCACAGTCACAAATCCATGTATAAATTCTGACTCCCTACAGTGTAACTACTGATTGCCTACTGTTGATCAGAAGCCTTACTGATAACGTCTACAGTCAATGAACACGTGTCCTATGTGTTATAGGTATTAGGTACTGGGTTCTAACAATAAAGTAAGCCAGAGAAAAGGGAATGTCATTAAGAAAATCATAAGGGAGAGAAAATATATTTACAGCCCTATATTCTATTTGTTGAAAAAAAAAATTCACATATCAGTGGACCCGTGTATTTCAAACCCGCATTGTTCAAGGATCAGCTGTATTCATTATAATATCAGCAGCCAACAAACCCAGTGCCTGTAGAACCTCTTCACTGGCGGGAGATCCCACCCCTCCAGGCTGCAGCCCCTGCCTGCCCCCAGCCCTGCCTGTGCTCCCCATCATCAGTCACTGAAGAATGGTGCTCCTTAATGTCACCGAGGTGATCTGGCCTCTGCTGACTTCCCTCTCCTTCCCTCTTCCCAGCCCCACCTGACACCATTCCTCAGGCCTTGCCCTTTCTCCAGGAAGGTGCCTCTTTATTTCCCCTATACTCCTCTCCATGGGTTGGCAAACTCCTACTCTTCCATTGAAGACCAGCTCAAGCCGTCACCTCCTCCAGGAAGTCTTCCTCTGCCTTCCCAGCATGCAAAAGGAGCCTCCCCAGGCCCCACCACCACCGTTGCCCTGGCAGTTCCAGGGAGGGGACTGGGCTCCACCTCCCGACCCCAGCTTAGGGCTGCGGGAAAGCGGGAAAGCGGGAAATTGAGCGCAGATCAGTGCAAGCCCCAGGCCAAAGCGCCCCCCCGTGGTAGCTCCGCACACTTACTCAGACAGGAACTCGAACCAGGTGAGGTTGGAGTGGGCTCCTCCGGGGCTGCCTGACAAGCGAGCCCTCTGCCGGGCCCTGCAGGGTCAGAGTGGACAGACCCCTGGGTCATCGGCCTCTCCTTTCCCAGCTGCCCCATCTCCTGCCTTCTCTCTCTCCCCAGTGCCCCCTGGAGACCTCACCATCCCTCCCACTGTGTGCTCCCTCCATGGTCACTGTAACTGGTTTTCTAGCAGAAGGGGGCAACTCATCTTGGTCAGACAACATCGGCATGTCAGGAAGATTTTCTAGCAAATGGCCGTGTCTTGGGAAAGAGGCACCGTTTCTCATTTGTGCGAAGGTACGTCATGGCCTCGCTCCTTCCCAGCTCATGTCCCTTCTCCTTGCCCACATTAGTCCCTCCCTGCTACCTCTCCTGTCCTTGTTTCTCTCCCCTATCTCCCTGTCTTCTTCACGCCTTTCCCCCACCTGTCCACTCCTACACTGTCCCCCTCCGCTTCTCCCCCATACTTGTCCTCCGCATCTATCTTCCCACCCCTGCTCCCTCACACCTGTCCCTCTTCCCACTTACCCATGGTACTGCCGAAGTTCTTGAAGCACCTGCTGGACAATCAGCCTGGGCAGGGGGCAGGGGGCAATGTGGGTAAAAACAGCTCAGAGGTGCCCCAGGTCATAGACGTGTTCCCCCAGACGAGCTATGATTGCCCAAACAGGCCCCCGGTCCTGATGCAGACCCTGACTGGGACACCCGACCCGTCCCCTGATGCTTTATTGAGAACCCTTCTGAGAGGCCTAGGTATCTCCTCTGGGATAAGGATGGTGTGGGAGAGAAGCCCCAGGTTATGGGGGGTTGGGGTGGGACCCCAGCCAGGACCCCGCGGCTGTCCCCTGGGTCCCCTCCCTACCGTCAGGGAGACACTCACACATGCTCGGGCTCCACGTGGTCTTTTTCCATGCACTCCAGCACCGGGGGCTCCAAACCTGGAAGCAGCCCCCACCCCAGGAGACACAGGCGTGAGGGGACTCTGGGGCAGACCAGCCCTGCCTGGGTCCCCAGTGACCCATCCGGCACAACTGGAGACCTTCCCGATGGGGCTGCTGTTCGGTGGGGAGAGGCACCCAGAGGGCAGAGAGCCAGTGTTGGGGGCGCACCCCTGGGTCTCAAGATGGTGGACAAAGTGCCAAGGGCTTTTCTCGTGTACCCTGTGGACCCTCCAAGGAGCCCTAAGGAGATGTGTTTGTTGTTCCATTCTTTATTTTCTTTTTAAGATTTACTTATTTATTTTATAGAGAGAGTGGGATGGGGAGGGGCAGAAGGAGAGAGAGAGAGAGAATCTCAAGCAGACTCCCAGCTGAGCGCAGGGCCAACCTGGGGCTCCATCTCATGACCCTGAGATCACGACCTGAGCCAAAATCAAGAGTCAGAGACTCAACAGACAGTCACTTGGGCACCCCTGATTCTTACAGAGAAAGCCGCAGGCTCAGAGACTTACTGAAAAGTGGTAGCTTTGGGTTTATAGACTTCAGGTCCCTCTGAAAGCAGAGAGACACAAACTGTTAGGACAGAGATCCAGAGATAAGGAGAGACATAAAGTAGGGTACAGAGGTAGAGACAGAAAATGAGCCCTAGGGGAGCAAAGGGATTGTAGTGTTGCAGTCCACTGGGGCTGGAGACCCTGGGGGTGGGATGGGGAAAGGGAAGGGGAGAGACCGGTGCTGGATGCCTCTCCCCCTCCACACGCCCCCCACTAACACCCCAGGAATTCTGCCCAGTTCCTGCCCATGGGACCCTAAGCCCCTGCCCCCCCCCCCCACATCAGTAGGTCTTTCCTCTCTCAGGCCCATCTAGGGCCCCATCCAGGGACCTCTTCAGCAGAAACCCCCACCCGTTTGGTTTGAATGCGGGAACCCTCCCTACCCCCCTGGCTGGGCTACCTTGAGCAGTTGGACTGGGCGCGTCCAAAGCTGGGGAGATTTCCAGGGAGCTGATCTCATCGAAGGACGCGGGAACGGACCGTGACCTCACTCTTTTCTCAGGGCTGTCACATTCCTGTGGGGAATAAGCATCTCGCTAAGCTAGGGAGGCAGTGAGGGGGGCCGGCAAGCTCCCCAGTTGAAGGGTCCACAGCTACCACCTCCAGCCACAGGCAGGGGCTCCGCTCAGCCCAGGGCACGGGGCTGGACCACTGTAGCAGCAGCTGAAGCTTGGAGCCATACCTTCCCCAGCCATGGGCTGCAGTCCTGGCCAAGAATGTCCCCAGCTGTGGGCTGGAGCCCCAAAACTCTGAGCTCCAGATTTCAGCCCATCAGGGATTGCTCCCCAGGTCACGGTCCTGGGCAAAGTTGCCCTAGACACGGGCTACGGCCCTTGAGGCTGGGATCGCAGACCTGAGACGAGATCTGCCAGGAGCGAGCGGGGCTTCCTTCTAGCTACAAAGATGCGGAGACGATCTCCCCTACCTCCCGGATCATGGGTTGTACTTGTAACCGGAGATCCCCTCCTGTGGCCCCCCACCCGGACGAAGAACCCTCAGTCTGGGGCTGGACTCTCAGTATTTGGGGACTCCCTAATCTTGGGGTACCCCAAGGACAGCCCCGCTGTGACGGGTAAGTCCCACCAGCTACCGGTGAGGAGCTCCTTCCCACCCGCCACGCTGGCCCCTGGGCCCAGAGTTGTATCATTATCAAGGTGGCTGGAGGCTGTACCCACCTTGCCTGGGTGCTCTGCTGGGGTCACACCCCCAGACAGACACTCCTGGGTCCAGGCCTGCAGGTCCTCTCCCGGCAGGTTCAGGGCAAGGCTGGCCAGCGTCCGAGGGAGACAGGGCCCCTCCTTCACAGCCGACGCCTCAGGGCTGAGCCTAGTGGAACAAATGAGGAAGGCAAGTCTTCGGGGTGTCTCTTCTATCAGCAGTTGTCCCGGCGCCAGCATTCAGGGGCCTGGGGGGACCTGCAGGTTGATCCTTCTGGGGCAGCGGGGAGTGGTCAGAATCTGGAGGGGCATTTGTTTCCTTCCATCACAGGGTCGTTGGGGGAGCCTTGCTGGGGAATTGGGAGAACCAATGTCTTTGAATGTTCACATTTTGAACATCTTTGAATGGCAGAAAAATAATATTGGATTTCTACTTGCAGTGAGTTGGAGAGGGTGTTAAGGGTGGCAGGTTGGGGTGGCCCGCCTCGGCCTCCTACGGAGTGTGGAATCAAGCACACGTCTGTGTTTTAATCACAAGTGCATCTGTGGGTCTGTGCACCCCCGCGTGCTCGTCGCACACGAAGGCTTTTCTGTATGGGTTGGACGGGGTGAGTGTGCAAGCCTGCAGGGCACGTGTGCACGTTTGGGATTGTGCGTGCCCGCAGCGTGAGCCCGCGGTCTTCATTTTGGGGTGGAGTGTGCTTTCACTCAGAGTGCAGGTGCTGGCCTGTGTGCCGGCAGGGGTGCGGCCCTGCCCTGTCCTAGGGGTGTGTTACGGAAGGCTGTTGGCGGCACGCGCTGACCTCTGCCAGCTCTCGGAGCAGCTCCGCGACCTCTCCCAGCTGCGTCTCCGAGGCAGGCCCTGGGACTCCGTGGAGCTGGAAAAGGTTGATGCTCTTCCGGCCTCTTCGTTGGGGGGACCGCTGTCCCTGGCTTCCCCAGGCTGGCTGTGGGAAAAGGTCCCAAGGCCCAGATCCTGGAGATACTCACTGCCCTGCAGGGCCCCCAAGTCCAGGCTGAGGTCCTCCATGCTGTCCCCGAGCTGCCCAGGCATACCATCCTCCTGTTGGCCGGTGTTGGGGGAGGGGAGAAGAAGGCATTGACCCATGGCAGCAGACACCTCGGGCACCGAGTCCCTGCCCATCCCCCTCCCGTCCAAGTTGGGCTCAGTGCCCTGCTCGTGGCAGGTGGGGTGGAATGGGGGTAGTCCCCCCAGCACTCTGTCTAACCTGGGCCTTCAAGGCCTCATTCCTGAAAAGGGGCCAGAGGTCTGGGCTTCTACCCGAAGTAACCTCACTGCTGACATTCCCTCTAATGGGCTTGACCTCAGCCCTGCCCCCTGACCTGGCTTGTTCAAGGTCTTCGAATGCAGCTGCGCAGGCCTAAGTTATTTTGGACGCTAATGCAGAATTTCAGGCCATGTCGGGTCTCCCAGTCATGTCCCTGGGCAGTGTGGGGCATCTCGGCAGGTCAGGACCCCGCCTCAGGCACAAACTCAGAGGGTGTGCCCTCACATTCAGGAATCCAGAACAATCAGGTTAGTGCCCTACGTTTTTTTAAAGTCGGGTAATGCGAGGAGATCCACGCTGGGCCAACGAGTTACCAAAATGTTAAATAAGGACAGTATTGGACCCTGCGCTCTACCACTCACTTGGCTCCCGTCCACTGTTCCTGGCCCTGTTCCTTCCCACCCCAGAGCGCTTAAGCCAATCCCTTTCCCTCCTGGACAGGTAGGAGCTCAGGGGGCACATTACAAAAGGCTACAGGGTCAGCCGCCTCCACTTCCGGCCCCTCTGTAGCCTCAGACCGCCAGCAGTGTGCCAGGCCCCGTCAGACACTGAAGACACACAGACGTGATTGACCACGTGGCAGTCACCAAACGCCAACACACTGCCACCCTGCCACCCCAAACTAAACAGGCCTTATCCTTACTGCCACCATCACTCCACCACAAGGGGGCATTGTTAACCCACTTTCCGGATCAGAAGACCGAGGCTCAGGGAGGCAGGAAGACCCGCCCCGGATCACAGGGCCAACCAACGGCAGAGCCGGACTCAAACTCAGGTCTGTCTGGATGCAAGCCCTATGCTCTTTCTCTCCTGTCTCTCTCCTTCTCCTATCCCTTTTCTCTTCTCTCGTGCCCTCCAAATCATTCTATTTGCCTTTTTTTCCCCCTAGCCAGGGAACTTGCCTTTTCCTCTCCTTGGAAAACCTTTTCTCCCAGCCCACATACAGCTTGGCTGGAGAACTCCTATTCATCCTTCAAAAACCAGCTTGGGTATGCCCTCCAGGCTGTCTTCCTGACTCCTCAAGACTAGGGTAAGATGTTCTTTCTCTGGGCTGTCATGATCTGTTCCCTGGGGACTTTCCTTGTCCAGACCTTTGTTGGGACAGACCTCAGAGAGGATTTGGTGGGTAGGAGAGTGGGTGGGCCTCTCCCATTGCTCCCTGCAAAGCCAATACTGAGACATGGCCCCAGGATGTCTGTGGTCTCAGGCAGCCCTCAATGGACTGTCCCAGTTGGTGGCCTGAAGAGGCTACTGAGGGGATATGCCCCCCCATGGACTCTAAAAAGACCCACAAGAGGGGTGCCTGGCTGCCTCAGTTGGTAGAGCATGTGACTTTTTTTTAAGGTTTATTTATTTATTTTAGAAACAGAGAGAGAGAGAGAGAGAAAACATAGGTAAGTGCAGGGGGAGGAGCAGAGGGAGAGGGAGAGAGAATCTTAAGTAGACATCACACTGAGCACAGAGCCCAATGCAGGGCTCCATCCCAGCACCCTGAGATCATGAACTGAGTTGAAACCAAGAGTCGGATGCTTAACCGACTGAGTCACCCAGGAGCCCCGAGCATGCGACTCTTGATCTTGGGGTCATGAGTTCAAGGTCCATTTTGGGTGTAGAGATTATTTTAAAATAAATAAATAAACAAACAAACAAACAAACAAATAAATAAATAGCTAGATAGGTGGTGATGTTAATAAATGTGATTTTCTTTTATTTTTTAAAAAGATTTTTTTAAAAAACTTATTTGACAGACAGAGATCACAAGTAGTCAGAGAGGCAGGCAGGGAGAGAGGGGGAAGCAGGCTCCCTGCTGAGTAGCGAGCCCGATGTGGGGCTTGATCCCAGGACCCTGAGATCATGACCTGAGCTGATGGCAGAGGCTTGCTTTAACCCACTGAGCCACCCAGGTGCCCAATAAATGTGATTTTTAAAAACATCCTCTGGGGCACCTCTCCCTCTGTACCTACCCCCAGTGTTGCTCTCTCTCTTTCAAATAAACAAATAAAGTCTTTAGGGTGAGCTCCTGGGTGGCTCAGTTGGTTAAGTGTCTGCCTTTGGCTCAGGTTATGGTCCCAGGGTCCTGGGATGAGGCGCTCTATCTGGCTCCTTGCTCAGCAAGGAGCCCGCTTCTCCCTCTCCCTCTGCCTCTCCCCCCACTTATGCTCTCTCTCTCTCTCTCTGTGTCAAATAAAGAAATAAAATCTTTAAAAAAACAATCTTAAAAAAAAAATCCCCGGGATAGGATTGCCAGACAAAATACAGAATGACGATTACATTTGGATTTCGGATAAACAACAAGTACTTTTTTAGTGTAAGTATATCCCAAAACATTGCACTATTTGACATTCGAATCTAACAGGGTGTCCTATCATTTTGTTTGCTCCGTCTTGCCACCCTACTCCTGGACCATTTGGCTAGGCAGGGCCTGTCCTTAGCAGGTGAGGGAGGAGAGGGAGGCCCCATGCTAATGCTTGGCGTCAGGGATTTACAGAGCAGCATCCAATGCAAAGTCGAAAATGCCAAGTGCCCGGTAAGAGGAGCTGTGCAGGATCCTGCTCCCCCAGCTCCCCTCCCATCTCGCTCCCTCGGAGCTCTCCACGGTTTTTACCGCTTCCTTCCTCTTTGTATCCATTTATCCTGCAATGGACGTGGGTTGCTTCCACGCTGGGTTGTTGTGAAGTATGCTGTGAACATGGGCGTACAGAGAGCCCGTTCGAGTCCCTGCTTTCAATGCCTTTGGGTAGATACCGGGAAGGAGGATTGTTGGAGCTGCGGTAATTCTGGGTTTGACTTCCGGAGCACACGCCGTACTGTTTGCATGACCTCTCTTTCTCTGGAATCTCTCCTTTGCACTGTTGATCCTTGTCCCTCCCACCTCCCCGGTTGCTCCTTCTCTGCCTCTGCATCCTCCCTCTGTCCTGTATATACAACGGTCCCTCTTCTTCCGTCTCTGGTCGCGGCTGGCTCAGGGTCGCCTGTCCCTCCTGTGACCCAGGCAGCAGCCTCCTGGCGGGTCTCCACTTTCCCCAAATCACTCCTGTCCCATCCCTGGTGCCTGGACAACCTCTATTGGCTCCTGTCTCCTCTGCCACTGCCTGAAAGGTTTCCTTGTGTCTCTGGTTTTTATCCTTCTGTAAATATAAACATGTCAGGACAGCCTCTTGGCCTGGGCTCCCCCCCCCTCCTTTCCTGCATCTGGCCTCCCTCATCAGAGGCAGAAGTGGGAACCTGGCCAGAGCTGGGGGTGGCAGGGGTGGTGGGCAGTGGCGGGCACAGGCTGTCCTAGCTCCGGGCAGCAGGTACACTGAGGGAGGCAGGGGGAGGGGAGCCTCATCCTTTGCTGGGGACCCCAAATCTTTCCTCCAACGTGGCCTGGGTGAGAAAAGGCGGGAGCCGACCGATTGGGGGGCCTTTCCAGGCATCTGACTAAACAGTGTATTCTGACCTTGACACCCCAGAGAGGATGCAATAAATCCAGGCTCTCGCTGCATGGACCCTGGGGAGCCTTGGGGGATGGGCTCCGCCCATCAGACTCAGAGGCGAGATGTCCCAGGAATGCTCACTCTGCAGAAGGGCTTACTGGGTGCAGCGTTGGGCAGTACATGGATAAACTGGTTTTTAAAAACGTGAATAGTTGTTTAGTTCATCGTCTATTAGCCAGCGTGGCACAACCAGGCAGCTTCGAGTATGTTGTTTCTCTGCTTCCATTTAATCAGGTAAGAAAGAAGATCGGTATCGAACAGAAGAGCAAACGAATGACAGGGCAGATGGACCCTGAGGGGCTCTCAAGGTAGGAAAACCTCAGTCAAGGTTTGCATCCCTGGTATGACCTTTACTAGCTCAGCGTGACCTCAGGCAAATCCCAAGCCCTCTCTGGGTCTCAGTTTTCTCCTCTGAAAAATGGGTGCAAGACTGCCTTCTTGTAGGAGTCCTTGCTGTGTGGGTACAGTGGGATGATGTGTGCACATCGCAAGCCCAGGGTCAGTGGAAGCAGATATGACGGTGCTTGCTGTTCTTCTATTTCGGAGGTCAGGGCTCTCCCTCCGAGGGAGCCGTGGCTGTGTCAGATGCAGTCACACAGCCCATCCCCTGCCCTCCCAGAGCTAGGTGCAGGGGGAGGGATGGTTTAACCCAGCCGTCATAATCAAGTATGATAGAATGTTCCAGAAAGCAGGCTGAAGAACTGAGCGGGGTGCGGGGGGGGCAGCAGGCTCTGTCTGAAGGGACAGGAGTTCTGGATTGGAATTTTACTAGAAAATCCCCTCTAGGGGCGCCTGGGTGGCTCAGGGGGTTAAATTTTCTGCCTTCGGCTCAGGTCATGATCCCAGAGTCCTGAGATGGAGCTCCGCATCGGGCTCTCTGCTCGGTGGGAAGCCTGCTTCCTCCTCTCTCTCTTTCTGCCTACCTCTCTGCCTACCTGTGATCTCTGTCTGTCAAATAAATAAATAAAATCTTTAAAAAGAAAAAAAAAAGAAAAAAGAAAATCCCCTCTATTGTAAAGCATGAAACCCAGAGTAATCAAAGGTGTAAGAAACCTATTAACTACAACTCAATTAGGAAAAGTTAGACAATCTTTAAATAGCTTCCGTCGCACAACAAAACCCCCAAAAAACAATTTCTGACCACATAAAATAACATCCACATGACACGTAAGTGATCTCTTGAACTCGCCAAGTTTCACACATCAGTCACATTTCATATAGTTTAAAAAAGCTCTGCCTCTTGGGGTGCCTGGCTGGCTCAGTCAGTAGAGCGCCAGACTCTTAATCTCAGGGTCATGAGTTCAAACACCACACTGGGCGTGGAGTCTACTTAAAAAAATAAAAAGAAAGAAAAGGAAAAAGAAAAGATCTACGTCTTATCAGTTAGGAGAGCGTAGACTTTCAAGAAGTCCTACTAGATGTAAAAAAGAAAGAAGGAAGGAGGGAAGGAAGGAAGGAACCAACCCGGGTGTCTTCCTGGAGGAGGCGACAGCCAGTGAAGCCTTGAGGAACAAATAGGAGTCAGCTAGGCAGAAGATATAGGCAGGGGCATTCCAGGCATCAAAAGAACAGGGTGTTCAGAAGCCTGAAGGCTTGGGAGGTCCTGGTGATTTCCAACAACTGGCAAGAGTTCCTTACTGGCTGGAGGTGTAGAGGGGGAACCTGGGCCGGATTAACAGGCCTGGTGGTCAAGCAAGAATTTTTTCTTTTTTTTAAAGATTTTATTTATTTATTTGACACAGAGAGAGAGACAGCGAGAGAGGGAACACAAGTAGGGGGAGCGGGAGAGGGAGAAGCAGGCTTCCCGCTGAACAGGGAGCCTGATGGGGGCTTGATCCCAGGACCCTGAGATCATGACCTGAGCCGAAGGCAGACGCTTAACCCACTGAGCCACCCAGGCACCCTGCGCTATAAGCTTTAACTGTCCCAGACCCTCCTTCCTTAGTGTGGGGGTCAGTGCCAAACACCACCAACCCACGCCGGTAAAAACATGCCTCCCCTGATGCGCGGAGGGGGGCTGCCTGCAGAGGGCTGTCAGCTGTCAGACCCTGCCCGGAACTCACACCTCTTCCTGGGCTGCCCACAGGCCGCCACTGATCGATGTGGGGACCTAATGGTTGCTCATCTCAGCCTGACTTGAGACCACTCCGCAGGGCTGCTGTAGCTCGGAGCTCCCCGTGGAAGCTTTTTCTTCCTGCTTCATCCACCCACCCAACCATCTAACCGTCTTTCCTTCCTCCAGCCCATCCACCCATCCATAGATCCATCCCTCTGTCAATTCTTCCTTCTTCCATCTGTCTGTTCAGCTGCCTTCCACTGATCTCTCCTTCCCTCCCCTTTTCCAGGAACGATTCCAGTCTCCTCTTCTATAAAATGGGATCATAACCACTCAGCCAAGTTTTAACGAGAGTTTTCTGAAAAAAAGGCACGTAAGGTGACTGGTTGAGTGCCTGTGTGTCACAAAGTGTACTTGCTGCCACCGGTGTCATCCGTTCCAGCCCGTCTCCACCATCGGACACCTGCCTGTGTATCCTCCATGCCGGGGAAGTCCGGGTGCTCGAGCCTCCAGGCTCTGCTGCTGCTCTCGGTGGCCGAGGCTGCAGCCTCAGGGTCAAAGGGCTGGACGCATGGCTTGGGCTCAGACCCTGTGGAGAAAGGAGGGACCAGGTGTCAGGGCCAAGGCGGAAGGGCTGAGGAGCGGGGGTCTGAGTTTTGTATCTGCTGCTGCTCCACTGGGGCTGGGTCTTCTCCTCTATAAGATGGGTTGGTGGAGGAAGATGGTCTTGATGACTTTTAAGCCAGCCTACATGCCATCACCTCCCTGTCCTGTGCCTGTGGCAGAGAGTTGTGTTCAATCATGAGGCTCTTTCCTGCGGATCAGTCACCCCTTAGGATGTCCCCACCCCCCACCAGGGACAGCATCTCCAGCAGCTATCTCCAGTTAGTCAGAGGGGGCTCTTGAGATGACGCTGGTTGGTCATGCTTGCTCTGGCAAAGAAAAGCCCTCATTCAAAAGAGTGGGTCCTTGAGATCAAATTCAAGCGCCCAGCGCCCACATTTGTAGGGTCTCTAACGGTGGGACTTCTGGCTACCTCTGCCCGATGCTCTATTTGGAGTTTCAGGGACCTCTTGGTGCCCTGGGATAGAGGAGAAAACCAGGGCTTTAGGGTCAAGCGGACTGTGTCCTTGTCTGGACCTGTCGCTAACGGTTGCCCACCCCTTGTGGAAGGCAGCTTGAGGCGCAGTTTCCTCACCTGGAAGGTGGGTGTGACGATGCCTTTCAGAGCTTTGCAGAGGGCGAAGGGGCCCAGCGTGTGTGGTCCCTGGCCAGTCTTGGCCATTTTTCTTGCTGTCTAGGTCAGGAGGTATCAAGTCTTGGACTGAGCCTCCTGCTGTGGGAGGAGTGGGTACCCCCTTTTCTCCCCCGCTGCCTCTTACAGCTCAGTGAGAGCGGTCACCCCTATTCAAATCCCTGCAGAGGTTCCTCATTGCCTGCAGGAAGAACACTGAGACTCTTGGCCCAGTCACCAAAGTCCCCCAGGATATTCCTTCTGTGCCTTGCGCCTGCTCCCGCAGGACTCTTGCACGAGACCCCCCCCATTCCTGCCCTGAGGCTGCCTGCCTCAAGACCTCACTCTATTTCTTCCAGAAATCTCTGTCCACCCCCCACCTACAGCACCTCTCTCACGTGCATTTCATTTCACAGCATTGTCTTGCCATCTGGACTCCCTTCACTCCTCCATCCCCGCTCAAGACATCCCAGGCTCTGCTGAAACCAGGGAGGTGACAGGAGAGTGCCTGGAGGAGAGGGCTGGGGAGGTGGGTAGTGGTGGAGGAGAGGGGAGACCAGTGGAGGGATACATGGAGGGACGGACCAGACCAGCGAGTTCTTAACAGGCGCAATGGTGGCTTCAGGTGAGGCTGAGATGGGGTGGGGGAGTGGGACGTCAGATGCTTTTTTAGCTAGCTTGGGTCCCCTATGGCTAGGTCCTGGTTTGCTGGGGACAGTCCTACTTCACGCTGAGCCAGGGTGGTTATGAACAACACCTCCTTTCATTCTCCAAAGGGTCTGGCAGAGGGGAAGGTCAATGGTGTCCCTTTATCCCAACAGGGCTGTCTGCACCTGCTCACGCCCCCTTTCCTCCTGGCTATGGGCCTGCGAACACTGCTCCAAGTTCTGGGACCCTGAAACATACACAATCCGGAGGAACCTTCTTATGAATACAAAATTGCCAGGGCCTCGGAACCAGGACATCAGAAAATGGCCAAGCAGAAATAAACACGCTTCATGAATAGATGAGTGCCAAGGGATTAGGTGGGCACATGCACGTGTGCAAAAGCACCGGGACACCGGAAAACTATGTGGCAGTCACTTAAAAAAGAGAATCATAGAGCTCTCACGTGACCCAGCCATCCCATGCCTGGGCATATCCCCCAGGAAATAAAAATGTATGTCCACCCAGAAGCTTATGAGCAGCATTATTTCTAATAGTTAGAAGGTCAAGGTGGAAAAAACCCAGATATCCACCAATGAACGAATAGGGAGAGACACAAGATGTGGTGGAGACCTACAGTGGAACAGTATTCGGCCACGAAAACAAAGTTCTGACACCTGCTACAAGGTGGGGGGTCAACCTTGAAAACATTGTAAGTCAAGACGCCAGTTGACAAAGACCACATGCTGTGCAAGTCCCTCTATATAGACTGTCCAGGATAGGTGAATCTATAGAGAGAGGAAGCAGATTCGTGGTTGCCTGAGGCTGTGGGGGGAATGCGGGGCATGGAGGGACAGCTGGAAGATATGGATTTCTACTGGGGTGATGAGGATGTTCTAAAATGCTTTGTGGTGATGGTTGGGTAACACTTGATGTATTGGAAGTCATTGACTTGTACCCATTAAACGGATGAATCCTAGGATATGTGAATTCTATCTCAATGGAATTGTTGCCCCCAAATATCGCCGGGGCCCCTTGCTGAATTTTGATTGGGTGGGAGCTTATGACCTTCAGCTCCGTTTCTTTCAGGGTAGACGATGTCTGGGCCTGGCACCGTGTGTGAGAACGTCATTGCTTCCACCATCCCCGCTCTCCCAGCTCCCCTCCCAGGCTGACTGAGGGACTCTGCTCTGCTGTACCTCATTTAAGCCTTGTATCTCCCCCCTTCCCCACCCTGAAGCCAAGGCAGCATCTATGACTCAGAGAAATGTCCGGACAAAACAAGCAGGCTGTGAAGGAGAAAAACCAGATGTGGGGGTGGGTCCAGGAGGCTGATGCGAGCCTGGAGGAGGAGGAGGAACTGGTCTGAGGGTCAGTCCCATCCCTTGGCCAAGCACGCCGGGGGTCTCAGGAAAGACCGAAGGGTCTGCCTTCTTCACTGGGCAGGGGTCTCATGGAGGCCTGAGGCCTCGACAGCTTGTGGAGGCCACAGGCAGAACCTCAGACCTTGAATCTGCAAACCCTGGGGGTTTGGGATCTGCAGGCTGAAAGTGAAAGGCCAAGGATGAATTTACTCTTTCTGTGGAAGTTTCTGACCCAAGAACTGACTGGGCTTGACTTTGATGATGCGCTCAACTCTCATCCTGGCATCTCATGCTGAACCCCAATCTTTGTTTCACAGACTATAAGCCCTGATGCCCAGGGTCATAGACTGAACTTTGATCCAGGTGTCATAGACTGAGCCCCATCCTCGTGTCATGGACTGAGCTCCAATCCCATTATCAGAGACTAAGCTCTGATCCCAATATCACAGACTGAGTCCCATCCTGGTGTCATGGACTAAGCAAGCCCCAATCCTAATATCATAGACCGAGTGCTGATCCTGGTGTCATAGACTGAGCTCCAACCCCAATACCAAAGACTGAGTCCCGTCTTGGGGTCATAGACTGAGCTCCGATCCCAATGTCAGAGCCTGAGCCCCATCCTGGGGTCATGGACTGAGCTCCAGTCCCAATATCAGAGACTGGGCCCCATCTTGATGTCATGGACTGAGCCCCAGTCCCAGACTGAGCCCTATCCTGGTGTCGTGGATGGAGCTCCAATTCCAATATCAGAGACTGAGCCCCATCTCGGTGTCATAGACTGAGCTCCAATATTAATATCTAAGACTGAGCCCCATCCTGGTGTCATGGGCCGAGTTCCAATCCCAATATCAGACTGAGCCCCATCTTGGTGTCATAGACTGAGCTCCAATCCCAATATCATAGACTGAGCCCCATCCTGGTGTCATGGACTAAGCCCCAATCCCAACATCATAGATTTGTCCTGATCCTGGTGTCATAGACTGAGTTCCTATCCTAATGCCACAGGTTGAACCCTGATGCTGCTCACAGACTGAGCTCTGGCTCTGATGTTGCACAGTGAGCTCTGGTTTTGGTCGAAGATTCTCTCCCCCCAGGCATTATTTCCAGTGGCCTCTGGTCTTGCTGCCTAGTATTCCCACCCATACCCCAACCTCAAGCTGTGAGGATCAAATTTGTTTTCTCTCCTCCTACTGTGTCCCTAAAGCAGTGTGAATGCACTATCTTCCCAGTGACCTGGCCAGAAACCTGGAGACCAGTGTTACCTGCTCACTACCCCTCAGGACACCAAGCCCTGTCAGTGTGACCTCCTGGACATTTCTCCATCCATCCTCTCTTCTTTCCTCTGTCACTGTCTGAAATTCAGCTCCCATTATTTCTGTCCCTACACAACCAAAATTCTTACTGGGGTTTTCCCACACACACAATCATCAACCACAATTTTAACCATCCTGTTGATCTGTGATTGGTTTACTTGTTCCCTTCTAGACCAGGAGTCCCATGGGCCAAATCTGGTTCAACATCTGATTTTATAAATAAGGCTTTATTAGCAGAAGTCATGCCTATTTGTGTATGCATGATCTATGGCAGATTTCATGCTATAACAGCAGAATTCAGTAATTGCATCAGAGTATGTGACCCACAAAGCTGAAAATATTTATTCTCTGGCCCTTTTCAGAAAAAAGTTTTTTGACCCCTGTTCCAGACCATGCAGTCCATGAGGGAAAATACTGTGTCTGTCCCACTTTTATATCTCCAAGCCCCAAGTAGTAAAATCTTAGGTGTATTGATCATTTCCTTTATGCCTTGCCTTCTGTTTAATCTGCCATATACTTTGCATTGTTCTATCCTAAAACAACCCCCAAGTCCCCACTTTACAAAAGAAGAAACTGAGGCTTAGAGACTTGCCCAAGGTCACACCATACTGGTAAGAGGAAGATTTGGGATGTGAACCCAGGGGTTTCCAACTCCAAAGCAGGGGTTTATGACCACCAGGCTATCTTGTGGTAAGCTGATGACTGGACCGGTGGGTGAATAAATGATTGGATGGATGGATGGATGGATGCGTTGATGGATGGATGGGTAGTTGGGATAGGTGGTGTGGCTGTGTTTAGAGGCAGTGAGGCACTAACTTCAGGAGACAGCATTCTGAGGGGATGAGGGGAAGATATGTAGATGGAAGGGGGGTAGAATAGAGTCAGAGAAGATAGGCAAGAAGGAAACCGAGTTAAGACACAAAATGCATTCCTTACACATTCAGTGGGGGAACCTCACTGTAGGTCCCAACCACCCTCTCCTTAGCCTTGTTTGCTTCCTCGAATCCAATCCCGTCATTTTGCCAGGAAGTCCCATTAGGTGCCCAGATGGCCACTGCAGAGCTTTAGTGGGGTACAAAAACGCCCCTGCCTATCTGCCTCCCCACCCCTGAGGGCTAAAGATTGGAAGGACGTTGTTAGGAAAGACTCTGCTCTTCAGCACCATGCTTCACGCTGAGAAGCCTGGATTTAGGTCCCAGGCAGCCTCTTCCACCATCAGCCCCTGCAGCACCAGCCATAAAAGGGTGTAAGAGTCACTGCTGGTTCCCTCAGCTCACTTCCCTACTTGTCAGCCTGTGAATCAGTCTCAGTCTGCCTGGGCTGGAAGATGGGCTGGGCAGAGAGGCCGGGAGTGGGTGGAACTTCGTAAGGATCTGGGTCACAGATAAGCCCTTTGGTGGTCCTTGGTTGATGAGCTAGTTCTCTGGTATTGCCATCCACTGGTGGATTTATAAACCCTCCCCAGGCCCTCCAGCTGCCCACACTTGCAGCTTTGTTTGCTGGCCAGAACACACCACAAAGGTAGCCTTGGAATAGAACTGTTCTTAAATCCTGGTTCCTCCAGCATGTGCTTGCTGTGGGACCTCGAGCAAGTCACTCAACCTCTCTGAACATCATGAGGGTTCAACACCTGACAGCAGCTTTCATCATTCTCACTACTGTTGCATCTCAATCTCCACACTACCCTTTCTCTTCCCAACCTAGCCTCCAGGGCCTCTGATACTCCCATCTTCTTCCTGACTCAAGCAGGGTGCCTGCTACCCATTTAGCCCTCAAACGGAGTCTGCGGGGAGAATGAGCTAAGGAATTTTCTCACTGGTCTCCCTCCTTCACGGACACCCACCGCCACCCTGGACCAGTACTTGACTCATGCAGGTCGCAGTGGCTAGGACTTGTTGAGGCTGACCAGTGGGCTGGCCTGACTGGGGTGGGGGAGGGTTGTGCAAAGGTGGGAGGCACAGAGGGACAAGAATGTCCAGGAGGCTCCACGCCCTGTGGCCCCGGACACTGTCTGGCTATCTTCTTGCCTCGAGATTTAAGGAGAAGCGTCTATTTGCCAAAGCAATTCACCCACACCTTGGGGGATGTACTATGAGGGCCTCTTACCACCACAGAGGTAAACTGAGGCCCTAGGACTTGGGAGGGGGTTGCCACCAGACAGTGTCTGTGTGTTCAAGGAAGGCATCTACCAGAATCCCTGGGAGTCTCCAAACTCCGTGAGCCTCCGTCCTGTAGCCATCCAGGAGCAAACAGCATCAGGAACCCCCAGGAAGTCACCGGGCTATCCAGACGGAGTTCTGGGGTGGATTCTCTTTCCACAAATTTTCTTCCTGAGACAAGGTCCTGGCTGAGCCTGGGGAGACTCCTCTGGAGTAAGAGGGACCACAGAAGTCTGTGATGTTCTGTGGGTGCTGGGGGAGCTAGGGGTCATGGAATTTGGGGCTGGATCAGGCTGAGTCTGTGTCCTGGGCCAAGAAAAGGCTCCAGGCTGTCCAGGGAGCCCTGCCTGCTGGTCACTGCCCGCCCCCTTACCTCTCTTGAAGGCCCACCGCTTCAGCCACAGCTTGGAGAGGGCTGGCCAGGAGTGGTTGAGCGCCGAGTTAGCCATGGGGGCCCATGCGCACGAGAGTGTGGGCGAATAGCAAGGGGAGGAAGCCGGAGCTTGCCTGGGATTCCCTGCCAAGATGGGTCTGCCAGCAGGAGGGGCGGAGACTCCCGCCAGGGGCTGCCAGATGCATCCGCTGATGGGAGCTTGGGGCTAGGGCAGGGGGGCTAGGGTTTTGGGTTGGGGGCCCAGAGACTCCAGACTGGGGGGAGGCCAAGCCCTTAGTACAACCCCCAACCCCTTTCTTGACCCATAAGCCTCTCACCCTGGCTGGACAAGACATTCCCAGGAGGAGCCAAAGATGGCAGTGTGAGTAGTGGTGACACTGGGGTCCTCAGAAAGCAAGTCTAGACTGGGTCCTGAGGTGAACCTGTGCGTACCTGAATGTTCGTGTGTGTGTGTGTGTGTGTGTGTGTGTGTGTGCCATCGTCTGTGATTTTTTTGGGTTTGTGAGTTTGCACATAGAGTGTGTATTTTTATGTCTGTGAGTGTGTGTTTGAGAGCAAATCTTGAGTGTGAACTTGCTTATGTGGGGGTGAATATGAACATCTAGGTGCCCCCCCACCAGTTTTATTGAGATATAATGAACACACGGCAGTATGTAAATTTAAGGCATACGGCACGATCTCACTAACCTGTGCTGTGAAACGATCACCATGAGTTTACTTAACACCCATCACCTCTTACAGATATGGAAAAAAAGATTCATCCCAAAAAAGGAAAAAAAAATCTTTTTTCCCCCTTGTGATAAGAACTCTTAGGATCTATTCTCCTAGCAACTTCTCCCCTATACCACACAGCAGTGCCAACACTAGCCACCACGCCGTGTGTTACATCCCCAGGACTTATTTATCTCCTAACTGGACGTTTGTCCCTTTTGATCCTCTCCCTCCAGTCCCCCTCCTCCCTGACCCCCTGCCCCTGGAAACCACAAATCTGATCTCTTTTATCCATGACTCTGGGTGCTGTTTGTAGATTCCACACTGAAGTGGGATCATACAGTATTTGTCTTTCTCTGTCTGACTTATTTCACGTAGCAGAACGCCCTCCAAGTCCATCCATGTTGTCGCAAATGGCAGAATTTCCTTCCTTTTTCCAGCTGAATCTTGTTAAATGGGCATTAAATATGTATGTATGTGTATATATATACGCCTGAATGCCCGTTGGCATCGCGGGGTTGGATCTACACGGCTCACCCGGGACGTGGGGGGGATCTGTGTCCCATATCTGTGAAGGGTTCGGGTTCCTGCCTGGGTTTCTGTGTGTCTGTGGGGTTGTGCGCCTCTGAGTTGGGTGTCTGGGCTGGGTGTGTGGTGGGGTGGGCGGGCGTCCCCGCGCAGGTCCGCGCCTGGCCATGCCAACGCTGCCCCCTGGTGGTCGATCCTCTCTACTGCAGCCTCACTCCCTGCGCTGAGAAATTCTGCCTTTTGTTCCCTGCTGACGCCCTCCTCCGCTCCCCAAATCCTTTCTGTGACCTCCCAGCCCCAAGCCGCTGTCCCTGGTGAGAGGATCAAGGCCTTCTCCTTCCTCGCATCCTGGCCCACCACCCCCTTGGAGGAGAAGGCTGTCACTCTTCTGTCTTCTGCGACCCTTCCCGAAGGGTTTTCTGCAAGCCTACTATGGCAGCTGAAGCAAGGGTTTGGGATGGAGACAGGCTACGGGGACGGGGCAGGCTGACCGTATTTTCCGAGCTCCTGGGGTGGGCTGGGCTCTGTGTTCAGATTTCACGTGCAAGGCCCGGGACAACCCTTTCACAGAGGAGCAGACAGGGCCGGAGTAGTGAAGTCCCTCGCCGGTGGCCACACGGAGTGAGGGGGAGCCAGGATCTGAACCCGCTCCTGGCCAACATAGCCATGCTGTCATTCCCCAGTGACAGTATCGAGCACCAGCCCGTGTCCAGCCATGCGTCAGGTGCTGGGGGCCTGAGGGGACATGGGGAGCACTGCCCAGAGCAGACACACCAATGTGTGTGCAGCTGACATTCCCATGAAAAGCCTGCTTCTTCCAGGAAGCCCTCCCAGAGGGACTCCTAGCTGAGGCTAGAAAACCCACAGATGGCGGAGAGTGGGGGCAGCTCTCCCTGGGCTGCACCGTCCTGCAGAACTGCAGGTGATGGGGCCAGCTGAACAGTCTGGAGAATCAGCCCCCTGAGTGTGTCATTCAAGGCTTTCCCCATATGCCCCCCCACCCCAGACTCACCAGCTCCACTCTCCCGGCCCCAGCTCTCCCCTCCCAGTTCTCTCCCTCCAGGCTGCTCCTGGGGCCTGCCAGACCCTCAGGTGCACAAAGCCTCCCACTAGCTGTGTGGCCCTGGGGCGGGGCCGGAAGCAGGTCTGGGTGTGCCCTGTGCAGACCGCAGCCTTCCGGCCCCTCCGCACCACCCCAGAGAGGCGGGTGTGAGGCTCCCCAAGGTGGGCCTCAGTGGGAGCAAGGGGGCGCCTTCTCGCGACCAGAGCTTGACTTGGAGGGCTGCCTGGAGGAGGGTCCTCCTCATCCTCAACTGACCTTGGAGGATTGGGGGGGGGCGCCCTCCTCAGGACTGGCTCTCAGACGGCAACCTTAGCAGGCAGTGTTTGTTGTGAAAGTCAGACACCTAAGCCCCAATCTACAGATTCTGCTTCAGGGGGCCTGGGGCAGGGGGGAGCCCCAGGGATCCAGTTTAGGAAGCGTGCCTGGGGACTCGGCACAGCGAGCACCCCTATTTGCACCCTGGCAGGATCCCCCATGGAGGCTTTGGCTACAAGGAGCCCCATCTTCCTGTCTTGTGGGCTGCACGTGTCACGGACCCCAGCCCCCTGGGATGACCTCTGGGGGCACACAGACCCTTGCAGGCCAATCCCCTGGTCAAACAGCCTTGCCCACCCACTCAGGGAGCAGGCTGAGCACCAGCTGGGGAGAAACCGTGGGTGGTCTGTCTGCTGCTCTGGGGACTCCCCCACTGCCCAGCCCCACCGCCACTCTCTGTGTTGATCCCTCTGTCCCCCACACCCCCATGATGGTGACTCACCAGAGGGAGGCTTGTCCTCGCTGCTGTGGGTCCCCGGCCCGGCTACCAGCTCCTATGGCCCCCAAGACCCGTGGCTAAGGTTTCCAGGAGGCCCAGGGGGAGCACTGGTGGGTCAGGGCCCCCAGGGGAACCGCAGGGTGACCTAACTCTGCCCCAACTTCCTCTTCCTCAACTGCCTGCCCGCCTGCTTGGCGTCTCTGCTGACCACAGCCGTGCGCCCCGGCAGGGGGCCTGAGGACACAGAGCAGGCTGGGCTCCAGAAGCAGGGAGCCTCCCCCAGCACTCAGCCCAGACGCGCAGGTGTCTTGAGAGGTGGGGCCGGGGGGGGGGGGAGGGGGGCGGGGAGCCTGGGCGCCCTCACCCCCACCCCAGCAGCTTCCTGTGGAACTGCCTGCCGGAGAGGAACAGGGTGCCAGGGCCTCACCAGGGTCCGCGGGGGCGCAAAAATGCGTGGGACATGCCAGCCGTGTGTATCCGCAGAGTCGCAGCTCTCAGACCCCTAGGAACCTGCACCGGCGTGTGTGTGGGTACACACATGAGTCCCCAAGGTGTTGCGGTAAATGTTTAATAATCACCTCTGCCTGCTCCCCTCCCCCGCCGCCCCAAAGAAGCCCTAATAGGTAACATTTGCTGACTCCTAGTTGTGCTTCCTGTGCAGAGACATGGGTCCCCCGGTGGGTGGGTGCGTGGATACCTGTGGGTCCAGGTAGACGTGGGGTTATGCAGAGTGGTGTACCTGCAGAGACCCCCGGGGACACGTGGGGCCCACCCAGGCTCCTTTATGTTCAGAGAAGGGTGGGCACACTCGCACTCAGGGGTGTGACGGCGACGTTCTGAATGGGGACACGAGGAATCACACACAGGGGCACTTAGGAGTGCCCACCGGGAGGCCAAAGAGGAGACACAGAAAGGGAGAGCCAGCTGCGCAGCACCCCCCACCCCCCCCGCTCGCGGAGCCTATTGTAAGAGGATGGGGAGTTTCTCAGGCTGGGTGTTAGATGCTGCCGTCATAAACGTTCAATTATATACACTTACAGTTGAAAAAATCATGTCAAGAACGAAAATAATAACCCCTTAAACCCAACACCGTGTACTTAATGCCACTGAACTGTATGCTTAGAAATGGTTCAAATGGTAGATTTTATGTCGTGTGTGGTGAACTCTAATAAAATGAAGAAACTCAGTCCTCCCTGATTATTTTGCTTCGTTTTTTCTCTTATCCATGTTCTTGAGGTTGTTTATGACTATTGCAGCTGCCTGTGGGGTGATACTGGTCACCTTCCTAGCCCCGAGGTTGGTGACATCACGCTGGTACCTGGAAACGGGCCACCCTGAGAGGTAGTGACGCAGTGGCAAACGCCACAGAAACATACGAACACAAGACACATGCGGGACACAAGGAGACAGGGAAGCACACGGATTCACGGGCACAAGCCATTCTGTAACCACTGGTTACTTGTTGAATGCAACACACATTTATTGAGCACCTACTGTATACTGGGTCTTTTTGTAGACAGGGTGGGATGGTGGTGAGCAGGGTGGACACAACCCCCTGCTCTGGAGGGCTGGAGGCAGGCTGTGAGGCAGGAAACAGACCCACCCCGTAATTAATTGCCGTGAAAGGAAGCAAATCTGGTGATGTGACAGAGAGTGGGTGGGGTGGAGGCTGCATTTGCCCGGGGTGGTGGTGGGTGGGGAAGGCCCACGAGGAGCCAGGCGTGTAAATGAAGATCTGGGACATTCCATGGGACAGGAACTGCAGGGACAAAGGCCAGAGGGTAGGATTGAGCTTGGTGTGTTTGGGAGAATGCCTGCGTGGTGGGAGTGAGGCTGGAGGGGGACAGTCCTAGAAGGTGAGTCTGGGGGCTCAGACCTGCAGGACCTTGGGGTCCAGATTGGAAGCGTGATTGATGGGCGTCATCGGGGTAGGGGGTTGCTTATGCAGTGAATGAAGGGGCAAAGGTGGGGACAAGATGGCTCAGAGGGTGCAGAGCCCCAGAGACCCACCCACTTCGTGTTGCAGCTGGAGGGAGGGTGGGTTTAAAGGCTTTAGCCCTGGGAGGGGCTGCTCTCTGTCCCTGTCCCTCCCCTACCTCCATTTATCTTTGTCTCTTTTTCTGGGCTCCCCTGCCGGAATTTAAATTCTCTCAGGCCTCTTCCCTTTCCTGGCTCCCAGCTCTGCTCTTCCTCTGGTGGTCCAATCACTAGGGAATCCTCTCCTCTCAGTACAGTACGGGCTTCCCTGGCCCTCTGCGCCAGACCCCCTCCTCACTGCTCTCCTCCCACTGCTGAGGTTACCCGGCGGCCTCCTGGAGGCTGACTATGCAACTGTGTACCCCTGGCTCTCCCCCAGGGAGATCCCCCCCACTTGAACTACTCTTTTTCTGCTCTCCTTTGTGGTAAAATATCCATAATGTAAGATTTACTATTCTAACCATTTCTTTCTTTCTTTCTTTCTTTTTAAAAATATTTTATTTATTTATTTGACAGAGATCACAAGTAGGCAGAGAGGCAGGCAGAGAGAGAGGGGGAAGCAGGCTCCCCGCTGAGCAGAGAGCCTGATGCGGGGCTCAATCCCAGGACCCTGAGATCATGACCTGAGCCAAAGGCAGAGGCTTTAACCCACTGAGCCACCCAGGCACCCCTCTAACCATTTCTAAGAGCACAGCTCAGCGGCATGAAGCACATTGACACTGTTTTGTGCAACCGTCCCCACCATCCGTCCCCAGAACTTTGTCACCTCCCCAAGGTGCGACTCTGACTCCCTACCTCCTCCCCCTGGTGTCTACAATGGGACTTGCTGGGTCCCTGAATTTGCCATCTGGGTACCTCCTATGAGTGGAGTCAAACAATTTCTGTCTTTTTGTGTCTGGTTTATTTCACTGAGCCAATGCTCTCAAGGCTCATCCACATTGCAGCACGTGTGAGAATGCCTTTCCTTCTCCAGTCTGGATTACATCGCACTGTGTGGATGGACACATTTTGGTTACCCATCCCTGTTGATGGACACTTAGGCTGTTTTCCACCTCTGGCCATCGTGAATAATGATGCCATGAACACGTGTGTGCAAACACCTGTTGGGATCCCTCATTCCAACCCCTTTGGGTATATGCTGCTGGAGAGTTTTGACCCCAGAGGGAATGAACCCATCGTGCTTTTGGTATCACTGAAGTGGCCACTAGGGGGAAGTGCTTCTCCACTGGCCAGCCCAAGACCACAGAGAGAAAAAAGCCCCAGAAAAACAGGCTGGGATTGCAACACCGGTGGCCTAAGGGCGGGGCCATGGCGCCAGTTAGCAAGAGACACCTGCCCGGGTTAAGTCTACTTTTCCTTCTCTCACTTTTGATGGAGATGTGGTTGAGTGAGCTATTTGCTGTGCTGCAGGAAAAAGAATTTCCAGATGGGCTAAAGGGCAATTGTTAAAAAAACAAACACCTGAGAGTAATACAAATTGTAGAAGGAATTTACAAGGTAATTTTTACACTTTGGGTTGAAAGCTTTTTACTTTTCTTTTTTTAAAATTTTTTTCTTTTTTCTTTTTTTTAAAAGATTTTATTTATTTATTTATTTGCAGACAGAGATCACAAGTAGGCAGCGAGGCAGGCAGAGAGAGGGGAGGGGAGAAGCAGGCTCCCCGCTGAGCAGAGAGCCCAATGTGGGGCTCAATCCCAGGATCCTGGGATCATGACCTGAGCCGAAGGCAGAGGCTCCAACCCACTGAGCCACCCAGGCACCCCATCTTTTTTTTTTTTTTTAACTAAGAGCGGAAACTCAGAAGGCATGAATGACAAGACAGAAATATTTGAATATATATAAACTAACACAAATGTAGGGGGGAGATGTTATAAACAAAACCAATGAGTAAGGATCATTTAGTTGTCTGTGAAGTGTTAGTACCTTCATATAGAAAGGATTTCTGTACATTGATAAGAAAAAGATAAATAGTGTAAATAGAAAACTGAGAAATTACATGAAGGCGTATTTCTCGAAACCAAGAGCCAAAGAACATATGAAAATATAGTTCTCGGGAGCCCAGAGAGTGTGAATTTCAGTAACAATGGCTGACACTTTACACCCAAGAGAGTGTTAACAACAACAGAAAAGACTGAGAATGTGTGTCTGCTTATCATCTTATTGTAGAAGAAATTATAGGGGACATCAGAAAATTTGTGAAATTCTATGTATTTAATTTATCTATGATTTCCAATATTTCCTAAGATTGAGCTAAAATTTCCAAGCTGTCATAAAACATGTAAAAATATGATAAAAACATGAAAAAATGATAACACTATTGCTGACAGAGATGCAGAGAAAAGAGTAGTGACATGTATTGTTGTACACAGATATTCGTTCACTTGCAACAGGGTTACATCCAGATAAACCCATCTTAAGTTGAAAATGTCATAAGTCAAGATGCATTTAATATATCTAAAGTGTCATAAGTCAAGTGCACTTAATATATCTAAATATGCATTTAATATATCAGGCACCTGGGTGGCTCAGTTGCTGGGCATCTCCCTTCAACTTGGGTCATGATCCCAGGGTCCTGGGATCAAGCCCCATGTCAGGCTCCTTGTTCAGCAGGGAGCCTCCTTCTCCCTCTCCCACTCTCCCTGCTTGTGTTCCCTCTCTCATTCTCTCTCTCTGTCAAATAAATGATTAAAATCTTAAAAAAAATATATATCTAGATATATGTATATCTATCTGTATATATATCTAAACTATCAAATAGCATGACTTGGCTTGGCCTCCCTGAGACATACACAGAACACTTACATTAGCCTACACTGGGCAAAATCATTGAACGTAAACCTATCTTATAATAAGATGTTGAATATCTCATGTAATTTATTGAATACTGTACTGAATGTGAAAACCGGAATGGTTATCAGTGTATCCATTAACACTGTTGTGCAGCCAACAATATATCGATGGCCTAACTTTCTGATCCCGTGGCTGACAGGGAGCCTCAGCTCACGGTCACTGCCCAACATCATGGCGGGATCATACCCTATATGGCCGGTATGGGAAAAGATTAAAATTCAAAAATCAAAGTACAGTCTTTACTGAAGGAATATCGCTTCCACACCATTACATAGTTGAAAATCTGTAAGTCGAACCACGTAAGTCAGGGACTGTCTGTATTTAGAAAGTCTTCCTTGGGCTCCAGGGTGGCTCAGTGGGTTAAGCCTCTGCCTTCGGCTCAGGTCATGA